TGACAGCATCATAAAAGGTCGATTCTAGTTTTAGTGGAGTATAACATATTTGATAAAAATTCTCGAATCGAGATATTTGGAGACAGTGGAAGTGTGTACCTTTCTTCCCTTTTGACTTGTCCTGCAACACAAGAGAAGGATGAGCAGTCAGTCTCTGTCGAACCTCATCAAAAATAGCACGATTACTTGAAAACCAATTAGTCCACCATTGAGAAAATTCCACAGTCGATAAGTAATTTGACTCAAATGCATATGGATAAAAATGCATCGAGGGTCTTGGCAAAAATTTAGCAAGCTCTCGGCCGATGTTCGATTCAGTCAATTTGGATTTAGGGAAGGAACTTAAAGGGAAAAAGGGTAAAGACTGGCTCAGGCCAAACTGTCTGGAAAAAAGCTGGGGGTAGTAAGTAACGAACTTGAAATCCCTGGGGTGGAAACCTGATACTAGCACATCATGGGTCAAGTAGCCACTCCATATATCGATCAGTTCTAATTGTAACCCAGGGGTTGAGGCAGGAAATCTTGACTTGAACCAGATCGGTCCCCTAAGTTGGTCACTTACTCGCTCAAAATTTACAGTAAAAGGGGCTAAGGTTGAATCGAAAACAAATCTGGTTAACAAAAATTGGAGATATTTACAATATGTGGCTTCGTCAGATTTATAGCGAGGGTGACGGGAGGATAATCGAGCCCCTTCTATATTTACACTTAGGGGGACAGTAGAATATCGAGGAAGGACACTCTCAAAAACGGATGTTAACCATAGCTGTATGAACCAAACAGGGCCAGAAAAATTCCCCGATGCCTTAGGAGTATTTAAAATTTCGACAGCCTCGTCGAAAGCGGTATATACATGTGCTAGCAAAAGCTTGGCCAAACATAGGCGGGGTTGACCTAAGTGAAGGAGATAAGCAAGATTGAAGAGATGAGGGGAAATTTGGATCGATCGGGGGCAAAACACATGGGTGCACAGCCAATACACCAAAAACGCTACATGTTCTTCATCAGTGACATCTATCGAGGGATCATCAACGAAATGCTTCTCAATGAAATGCCCGTAGGCCTTCGATTCCCAATCGATTTTTGACTTCAACGAATTATCTGAAGGACACGCACCCTGAAAATATCTTTCCCCTATAGGTTTCAACCCAGTGATGGCTGCAACATCGAGAAGAGTAGGTGAGAGGGGGCCACAAGGTAATTCCAATGCATGTATCTCTTTATTCCATAGGTGCACGGCAGCCAGGAACATAGCCATATCGAGGTAGGATAAATCACATTGAGATAAATGTAGAAAATCATAAACCCCCACATTCTTCCAATGGTCCCCGAATTTAGCCTTGACCCTATCAAACCATCGAGTGAACAAAGATTTTTTGGAGGGAGGACCTGTCCTATACACCTTGGAAACAAAATTCAAAAAATCGATCCTAACTTCGGGCTGATGAACTAGAGCAGGGCTGCTTGAGAGGGTGAGGGGAGAAACGGTTCCACTATCAGAAAGAATGGGGCCCCCAAAACCAAAACCAACCCCACCAACAGTGTAAGGAACTAATACCTGAGTTTCAGCAATCCTTTTAGAGGCCTCTTCCATTAAAGGCAAGGGAGCAAACTGCTGGTTGTTAATTTCCAGCAAGGTAGAAGTAGATGAGGTAAGAGGAGGAGCCGAGAAATCAGATGACTTAGATGAAGAGGCCATTATAGTAAGATTAGAGAAATAATAAAGAAGGTGACAGGTAAGGTAACAGAAACGAAGGCAGGAGCTTAGGGAAGAAGACAAGTTTTCAGTAGAGGATAAAAGTTCGCGTAAAGCCAGAGTAAAGATAGGTTGAGAGGTTAAAAGGAAATCGTATAGGGAGATGGAACGACGGAGGTGAAAGGTAATAAATGCAGCGTACTGTAAAAGCAACAGACTGATATGATAGCGACGTAAAACGGAAAGGGAAACCTAAAACCCTTTTAACCCTAGAACCCCAGAAACCCTAAACCCTAAAGTTCTATGGGCCTCCGAACATTAAAGCGGGAATATTGAAAGAATATAAACTGAAATTATTCATATTCTTTCAAGGGGGCATTTGTTAGTAGCAAATCGAGAAACACAATCGGAATCGAAGGGAAAAGAAATATGACTCGATAAGATAAACAAATATTCATTCGATGTCCAAATTGAAACACGTAGCATATAACATCGAGAAGCACAATCGAGAAATGAACGGCTGTTGCCAAATAAAGACTAAGTCATAGTGTGGAATCGAGAAGTCTGATCGAGAAATGAATCGAAAGGGAACTTTCCTGATGTCCGATTATAAAGAACGTGACACATAAAATCGAAAGGTAAAATTGGAAGAGTAGGCGTAATAGTCGAAAAGCTTAACATGGAGTTAAGGTTAAAATAAATCGATACCAGGTATGCAAAGTTCTCGATTAAATCAAAGGGAAGGCTCGTTTTCGTAGATATCATAACCTTGGCTAAACCTTGAAAGAAAGTAGTCAAAACGCACGTACTGAAAGCAGTTTCTAAGTGATGGAAAAGTTGAAGATCGTGAGAACATGGGAAAACTGTAAAAAGAAACTGTCATACGCACGAAGAACGTGGTAGCAGTCTCGTTAACTGCTCTTAGAAGGCTTGAACAACGCCCTATAAATAGAACAAAGAAAGGAGAAACAGGGGAGCGGAAATTGGCAGAGAACAGAATCAGTAGTGAAAAGTCTACCGGAGAAACGACGAACACCATGAAGCTTCTGGCAATCTGGATTTCCCTGCTCACGGAGTACATTTATCGCTTTCTTTATTTTCCTTGGTAATTTACTTTCGAGCCATTCCAATTCAGCAATTTCATATTCTTGTATATTTCATTCAATGTCATTTCGATTTCCGCATATTTCGACTTCCTGTTATTTAATTTTGTGCAATCTTAATGGGTTTTAGTAATTTACATTTCTCGCACATTTCGATTTCCGCATATTTCGACTTCCTGTTATTTAATTTTGTGCAATCTTAATGGGTTTTAGTAATTTACATTTTCCGCACATTTCGATTTCCTGTTATTTACTTTCTGTGCAATTTTAATGGGTTTTAGCAATTTACATTTTCCGCACATTTCGATTTCCTGTTATTTAATTTTGTGCAATCTTAATGGGTTTTAGTAATTTACATTTCTCGCACATTTCGATTTCCGCATATTTCGACTTCCTGTTATTTAATTTTGTGCAATCTTAATGGGTTTTAGCAATTTACATTTCTCGCACATTTCGATTTCTTGTCCTTTATTTCTCTTGCAAACTTAATTTCTGGTCATTTACGTTTTCACTGTTTCCGATTCTTAGTCATTTAAAGTTAATGCCCCTTTGGGGTTTTCGGGCCTTCTTGCAATTTAATATTCTCTCTTCTCGATTCAATACTTTACTGCTTTGTTGAAATCGAGCATTTTAAACATAAAATACTAAAAATAGGATTCCTTGACATCTTCTAGTTTTCGATTCTCATACGCGTTTTCGATTGAAAATCAAATTGCTAGCCTAAGTAAAAAGAACTTACGTGGTAGAATTTTGATTAGGACCAAAACACCCTTAGAATCGAAATCGATCGAAATTCCACCAGAAACAGCCCCTTTTCAAGAATTTTTCAGTGAAAGAAAAATTAGGCTGGGAAAACCTAATTTCATAAATAAGTATAATAGTGCCATTCCAATTCTTATTCTAATTCTTAGTGACAAGCCATAATCATTTGACTCACCTTGAAGAAAAGTTAAGTGCAGAATTTTACTCACATAAAAACTATCTAAAAAAATCTAGCTAACAGTTCCTTCTTCAGTTCTTAACTGCACAAAGTGTTCTATTTCTGAGACATAACAAACTCATGGTCATGTAACAGATGAAACATCTTCTAAGAAACTTAAGTTCTCACAAGCATAAAAATTCCCTATGTCGATCCAATTTCATACAAAATTAACGCGCGGGTCCTTATGCTTGAGCTTTTGATTTCACCAAAAATATGTAGATTTCCCTTTAAGCTTTTATGGTATCCAGTTAATGAGTTCCCTTATCTTTTATGTCACCTTAATTAGAATCATTGCATTCTGTCACTATTTTCTGTTCATCCAAAGAGAAGATTCTCTTCCAACCGTACCAAACCAGAAACATATAATTTCTGCCAATAAATTGAATTGGGGTAACTTGATGTCTAATCTCATTGGCTCTTTAGTGGTTGTGTGTTGTGTCCGATTGAACGGTTAGAATTCATGGCAAAACCATTCATATGTCACCTTTCATTTTTTTTCTTTTCCATCAACTTTTATGTTTCTTTGGAATCACCAACTCACATTCGTGACGAGTTATGAATGGTTCATTTGATGCTCCTGAGGTTTCTACCATACATGTGGACTAATATGTCAACCTCAAGAACAATATGTGGACAGGGACGTGTTCTCGTGCCTTGAAAAAACACACCTAATTAGTATTTTGGTCCAACCGTGAGAGACAAAAAATGTCACAAAACCACACAACTTCTCAACCAATACCAATGAGTCAGTCAGTTTCCATTCAAGTGGCCTTAGGTGCAACAAATGGGCTATGGTGGGTCACAAATTTAAAGGTGCTAATTCTAGACCATACAATAAACCTTGATTGCCTTCATAACCACACACCAATACAAATTATGGCTCATAAGCCTTGAAGCATCTAATGAAGCTTTAAGCTTAATCATTCTTTAGCCAATATTTTTCTTTTTTTTCTCCATCCTGTTGTCAAAACTAGTGGAATCACAATTTCATTCTCTCTCCTTAATCACCAGATTGACCTTTAGGCACCATCTAATAAATACACATGGGTTAAAACATAGACACGTGTGATAACGTAAGAACTGCCATCCATGGCATTGTCTAGTAGAACTCATCCATAGGATCATCATTTGTTATAAAAGGCCTTTTATTCATTTGTATCAAGCTACACCATTTGTTCAAGAAACTACTAAGAAGCAAGCTTGATTATTTCTTCTAAAAATGTGCAAAGGTGCAGAAGGAGCGAAGAAACTCGGTTTCTGCAGCAGCTTCCTACATACAGAGATAGCAACGATAAGTGCTAAATGTTGCGAGCTATGTGGGTTACAGGCTTCATTGTTTTGCCAAGCTGATGATGCATACTTATGTAGAAAATGTGATAAAAGGGTTCATGGAGCTAATTTTTTGGCCCTCAGGCACATTAGGTGCTTTCTTTGCAACACTTGTCAGAACCTTACGCGAAGATATCTCATTGCAGAAACACTAGAGGTGGTTCTTCCAGCCAACGTAAACTGGGCCATAGGAAATCTTCCTAACAATAGAGGAACCAACACAAAGTGTTCAAGAATGCGTAACAAACCTTTCCTCTTGTTTTAGCTTCCATCTTTATTTCTTTTCTTTTCTTTTCTTTCCCCCTTAGATGATCTACTGTAATAGAAAGGTTAGTGATCCCCTTCTCAGGTATAAGGGGAAGTGCTTAATGTTTTTAATATCACGATTTAAAGAAAAAATGAGAGTTGCTAATACAACTATATTCAATATAGAAGGAAGGCTTGTGCAATGCTGTTTTATTTCTTTGATTAATTTCTGGTAGATGTAGTTAATTGAATATGGTTATTTTTATTTCAAGCCAATTCCAAACCATCATGGAAACGAATTTCTGGTGTCTATATATATATATATATATATATATTAAAATGTATGTTATGGTATTCCTAATATCTCATACTGTAATTATTGCAAATGTCATTAATTAAGCTATTGCTGAAGCCACAAATTATATGCTTAATGAAGAGTAAACTTCTATAGTTGTGAGCATTGTTCTGAAACGTGGATGATCAGGTCATAATTAGTATGTTGATTGCAGATTCTGGTAAATAATGATACTAACATTCAGTTTCATATGTAAAAATCCATGGATTTTGTAACCTAAGTACAAGCCAACATGAAACATCAACCCTAGATATTTTTCTGATTCATTTTTGTAGTTTTTGTGTGCCTACCTTAGCAAATTCTTGCAATGATTCCACCTCGTAAGCGTATGCATATAAACCACAAAAGAACAAATGAAATAAGTTTTTTGTAGCTATTTCCGAAAAAAACTAATAAGTCGGAGATTCTCAATAAGAAGATACGACACAATCATTCAAAAGAAAGAATATGAAATCATTTTTAATTAAAAATGGAGATTCTCAATAAGAAGGCACGACACAATCATTAAAAAAAATATGAAATCATTTTTAATTAAAAATATTAAGAAATTAGGTTATGAATATTATAAATTACTTAACTTTTTTATTTATATTTAATATAAGATCTCAAATTTACACTTAAATCATCAATAATTTTTTTTAAATGTGATTCACTTTATATGAAATCTTTGTAAAAAAGACTCAAATTTTTATAATTTAATATGTTTCACCTATGTTAATTATACTCAATCCAATCCGGTTCTAGTATCACTATTGGGTTTGGTAGATGTTTGAGTATCTTAAATACAGATAAATTCAAGATTTTTTTATAATATGGCAACTAAACTTGATTCAAAATATTTCCATGATTGAATCTTTAGCAGACACCACCAAAAATGAGCAAAGCTTTTTCTCCTCTCCAATTCATTAGATTCTATTCCTTGTCAAAAGAAGCTGCCAGCTTACAATGTTTTAGTAAATCAACCACAAACCTAAAGCAATACTTTTCTGCTTCAATATTTGAAGATCAAAGTTGCATCTAACTGGTGTTCATTGTAAAAATACCTTTCATAATTTTTATTTCAATTTTAGTTAAAATATCGTTTTTAAATAAAATAACAGAGATAAAAATCACTTTTTAAAAAATATAAAAGAGATAAATATTATTTATGAAAAACATCCTTGTCTTTTAATATCAGAAAGAAACATGATTGTAATTTTATTAAAATTTTAAAGAAAATTAGTGTATATTTTAAAATTAGAAAGTAACGTTTATAATTAACATAATATAGAAAGAGATAAGTATAATTTCTCATATTATTATCACTATATCCAGTTTAATGAATGATAGCAATAAAATTAGACTTATGGACTATCATTGATTTTAATTTCTGAAATCAATTTGTTCAAGAAAAAGAAACAGTCATTAATATCCCCTATTTTTCATGCTCAATCTCTTATTTTAGATCCTGGATATATATATATATATATATATATATATATATATATATATATATATATATATATATATATATATATATATATATATTTTTTTTCTACTTAAGTGTCATTTGTGAATTATTTCCTTATTTCTCTTACCTAATTCTTAATCAATTCACACATATGCATTTATTTCTTGCGAATACAGGAATGAAAAATAGTAAAACCGAAAATCTTACTGCATAAACAATAAATAAAACTGCATATAAAAGACGGAAAATCCATTTATTTTTATGAAGATAGACAAAATTTATCGCATCTCTATATTTCTGCACAATGACATAAAAAAAAGACAGGCAGAAAGTAATGGCGTTGGTGAAAAAAACTTCCCGCGAAGTGAGAAAAGCTTGTATGCAATGTTTGTACAATTATTAAAGAAATAAGTATCATCTTGAGAGAAAATATAGAGCCATAAAACAAATGAAATAGTTGAGGCAATGTCAAAGATACAAATGGCTGCTGCAAGTGAAACTGGCTTCCAGCAATTTCAAGAACAAGAGGATCTCAATCCACCGGTGATTGTGCTCACTGATCTGATGAAAATGTGGAAAACGAAAGAGGTTTCAAAATATGGTGCTGTTGTCCTTGAAATATGACTTAGAATGACAGAATAATGTCGTGGGAAGGATCTCTCTTTGAGGAAGGATCAAACTGAAAGCAGATATGTGATCAAGGCAGTGTTTGTATAGAACACAGTCTCAGACACTCACACAATATCACCTTTCAAATTCAGGGTGGATAACTATGTACATCTCCTCTAAAAGCAAGGATATCCAGGCCTGCAAATAGTTGAATGATAAAATCCAAACATCAGCAAAGAAGACAAGATATGATTGAACAATATAGGCATATAGCAGGACTTTGGAGCCGATAACTTTTTAGAAGCACTTGAATACTTAAGTAGTGAAGGTGTGACAGACTACAGAAAGGGTATTCAGTTCAATCCTTTTAGAACTCAGAAAAATAGTGTTTGGTGTATAAAGTGGTGTTTATCTTACCCTGTGTGTTTGTCTTAATTGATAATGACCGTGATGTTTCAAACGTTCTGCTCTCATTTGTCTCATGCCTGCTTTCTCTTACACTTCTTTTGTATAAATAAATGCCATGTGTTGGCATACATCCAATCCCTTCCTCTGCAATTTTCAATGGCAACACCTTCTAAATACTAACCTGTTAAAATCTCTAAGATCTGTATCAGTCACGTAAGCAGTCAAGTTTAGAATAATTTTCTAGCTGCAATAAAACTCTCCCTCTTTCATTAGATAAACAAAACATCAGCTGGCAACAATGCAATGTACTGAAAATGTCCAAGGACCACCAAACCAGTCAGTGAAAGCATAGCTTTTATGCAGATGCTTAGACGTCCTTTGTCACAAGAGGGTCATAATCATATGCTTCACCTGCTTTAACAAATCTACCTTTCACACGTTTTCTTGTGTCAGCCCTTGCTTTACGAGATGCATATCTTATTTGCTTGCCAAACCTGCAGATAAGAAAACAGAAAATTTGTAGAGGTCTCCACCCAGCCTCACCACAAAAGAAGGCTCTCTAAAATGATATGACAGTGGTGAAATGCATGAGATCTGAACATCTGATAAGATCATCTTTCAAATAGTGGACCAGAATGCAGCATGAGGATATATTCCGGTAGAGTTAGATTACATAATATAGGACAGGATATGTGATCTCTTCTTATTTCAGAAAATGACTTCATAATTGTTATCTCTCCAGTCTCCAGTTGATCCACCAAAATTTTGAAATAATTCATGTGCTCACAAAAATAATGTGTTGTAAATAGTTGTTTAGATGTCAAATTATAATGTGTTAGCTCACAACTTTACTTGTTTATGTTTTCCACCAGTATTATTACAGTTATAAAAACAAATAAGTTAAAAACCTCAATATGAAAATGCAATTAGTACAGCAGACAGAAAATAATAAATAGTTGTAGACTAGCACTTTGAGTGACTGAAACAACACACAGTTATCCCTTGCTTTATTAAAAGAACAGTCTTCATTTCATTTTACCAAAAAATATATGGAGAATTAAAGGAGCATACGTTCGTGTTTTCTTTTTCTCATTGTATCTCATTTTAGCTTTATCCCTTGCCTGTGGGCTTGTACCCTCCAAATTTGATTCCCAGGGAAATTCACCTGGCAGAAACATTGTCGATATCCCACAGTCTTGATATTCAGTAGAACTATTTTCACCCACAATGTTGGCTAATTGAAGAGGTATGTTTGAATGAACTTGACCCTGATGAAATCCCAGATTGATGTTTCCACTGCAGCTAGGATTCATAAGTGCACAATTTGTGTTACTGTTCATAACCTGCACCGCACTAGCTGATCCACCAGGCGTAGATGACTGAAAAGTCATACAATCTTGTTGAATTGATGATGATGCCTAAAACAATCAGGCAGGTGACAATTAGTTTTGTACACTACTAGTAAACCTTATACCATAATGAAATTTAAAGTAGCAAAATAAAATGAGTTTTGAGGGATAACCTCTAAGGCACTCTCAATAAGTGAACTAGATTCTGTGACTGATATGTTTTTATCCATCAATAGACAGTCCATTCCTCTATCTTGAAGGTGGTATCCTGTGGGAGCTTGTGAACAGCCAAATATTTCATCAGCACTTCCTAAATTTGTTGGAACGTTATCCACATTGAGACCTTCACAGAGTCCATTTCCATCACGTATTCCTAGATCAGTACACTCCTGCGGCTAATTTGAGTTAAAACGTAATATTCAATAGAATGAAAAAACTTCTATCAGCTTTGGTTAAGAAGGACAATAGTAAAAGAAAAAGAAAAACTTCACTCATCCTCACCTTAATCGTATAGACCGCACCAGCCTCACTCATCCTCACCTTAATCGTACAGATCACACCCCACATTTTGTTTCCGCACCATTGCACAACCACAAGAAAAGAGCTTACTACTTCTCATATTGCATGTTCTAACCACTTTTGTCAATATTATTGTTCTTCCTTCCCTGTGAAATATTACATTTCAAAATTTTTGTTGTTTTAGTGAAGTATCACTTTGAGAAACTAAGAAGATATAATTTTTTCCCCTTAAACATTGTCTTTATTTCTAAGTATGTTCAGTTCTTCACTAAATGGTGGGATAGAAGAGAACATTAGTGGAGCGATAATAATATATCAGATACTTTAACAGTGAATAATTTAGTCAACTACAATTATACTTGTTATAATTGAGGCAATTTAAGAGTTTATGACTGGTTTTATTTGACATATATTCATAAATGGAGGGAGCAAACTAAACAATGGTTTGCTATCTTTCTAAATTAAAAACAATGCACATATATTGCTAACAATGAACCAAAATAAAAAATCTGTAGAAGGCAATACCTTTGGCTGGTTTGAGTCTCGAGGAAGAAAAAATGCTTCTTCTTTGCTGTACGGTGTGTTGTAATTTGGGTTTGAGGGAATGATGTGAGATTGCCCCATCCAAGGTTCAATTTCATTCAACTTATCACTCACCAAACCAAAGGAACCACCATTATGATCAGGTTGCTCCAAACACGGGCTAGTCTCACCTTTTGGTAAAGTACCAATAGATTCCCAACCACCATGTGAGGAATTAACATCAAACACAAAGGACCAGATTCTAGAAAACTCAGCCAATGAAGGACACCCATTATATCCGTTCAACGTGCGGCGCCTATGTCCCAATGCAGAACAGTCATTCGGGCTCCAGTCACAACCCTGACACAAAGACAACTTATGATCCATACAACGTATCATTGCTGACTGGGAATTGCACTTATCGCAAAGGAGGGAACGTGAATGCCTGCGGGACAAAGCATTTGCAGAGTGCACACAGCCATCGCAATTCAAGCAGAGACGAGCAGAATCTGACTTACAGTAAACCACAGCTCTCACGACCCAACAAAATTCACATAGGGGTTCCATGCATCATGATCAATACTAAATATGGACACCTCAAACGCTGATTCACCCCAATACAAGTCTCTCTTATACTAAACTCAACCCAGTTGTTAATTATAATCCTCCAATTTGGACTATTGCTAATAACCCTTAGCCACTTCATATCAAAGAAATCAAAACACAAATGTTATAAAATGAACCCGTATTGAAATTAAATATACAAACAAAAGAAAAAAAAGAAGTAGGTAAACATTTTTCAACCCACATTATCCTATCCATCATCCATCACAATGGTTAAATATGTCTTGCACAATATAACTAATAAAAAAATGAGTTTTACCCTTACCAGACCAAATTTGGTGTAGCTTCCCTCCAGACCCAGCTGATAAAAAATATTATCCAAGATCCAGAAACCCAGAACCCATGAACGTGAATCAGAGAAACAATAAAGGATGGTTTGGATTCGGTACTAGCAACTAGCAAGATCACTAGTAACATTAACACATTCATGAATTTATTTAGTAGGTTTTGTTTTGTTAGAAGGTCTGACACGTGTCAAGAGCAAAGGTCTGAAAATAGATTCTTTGCTGACGTGGACTTGCTTGTGGAAGAAAATTTCAGCCATTGATCTGAGTATAACAAATTCAGCAGATTACTCGGCAGTGCAAGGTGTTAGTCAATACAAATAAAATATCAGAAAAATATGTTGTAGATCCCAATGTTTTGAGAAATAAATAAACATGAAAATAATGAGGAAAAATATTTGATTTTGTGTGTTATTAGAGGCATAAAAAGTGCCACATAGGATTCCTGGATCTGCTTTACCACGTGTCATTGCCCCAGTAATTATTATTTTTTAACCTGCCTCTTGGTTTCCAAGTTGGTAATATTTTCATGCTATTAAAATTGTAACTGTTTAATACAAGATATATGTATCATATGATCAGTTAACAAAATTTAGTTTTAAAATATTGATTAGTAATGAAGAGTAATTTATTTTTTTAATTAATAATTAGTTTAAGACTAATTAAATGAAAATCCAACTAAAATCAGTTAAAACATGAGTAATAAGCAGCGTTTAGAGGACTGAACGTCCAGATGAAAATGAAAATATTGGACCAAATTATTAAATTCGATCTAGAATTATACTTTAAATTTAATTATTTGTATTATTTTCTGTAATCTTTCGTAATTCAGAAGATAAAATGTTTAATCAATAGACTGATTTGTTGATGGTTGATAATCCACCTTACACACTGTCCTAGATTTGAACAGATTTTAAATTTTTTATTTATTTAATATGATAAATTTCATTTTTTATAAAATTTGAAATAATGAAATTATTAGTATAAATTATTTAATTAAATTGTCCAAATAAAATATTTTAATATAAAATATTTCAATTTTTTATTAAAATAATTATTATATGGAAAATTCTATAAATAAATAAGATATGAAAAAAATGATATTTATAAAAAATATTACATTAATTTGTTAATAAATAACTATTTTAGCATTATGATTGAGTGTAACGATGAACACGCCGTTTCCTATGGTTCCGCGTATGATCCCATTCAAATACACATTCACACGATTGCCTTCTTCTATTTATTTGTTTTGTTTTTTTTACCGTACTAATTTAGTTTAATTTTCACATCTTAATTCCACATAGTTTAGTTTATGTTTGAAGATATCTAAACTACATTCATAATTTATTTTTAGTATCTTAATTTTCAAAAAAATCTGTCTTCTAAACCTATAATTGATTCTCCCGAAAGTTTGGATAGAAAAATAAAATAAAACTTTTAAAATATAAAAATTAAAACGTTATATTTTTAAATTTGGACAACAATAATTTTACCTATATTTAAGAAATTAAAAATATATTTAAAAATGACATGTTTGTGGAAAAATATTTTTTCTTTTAATTTACAATATTTAACAATTTAAAATTATTTAAATTAAATTCCAAGATTGAATATGATAAAGAAAATTAAGTTTCTAATATGAGAAAAAATTCACAAAAATTACTCGCATTAATGATGATTACGACCAAATGGATGTTTGTCATAACATTAGTGTTGAATTGTACAGATGATTTATACAGTTATTACCAAACGTCAAATTACTGCAACACCGGTCGACGGTTCAAATATTACGCGTCTTGTTCGCCCTCCGCGATCTAAACCCTTTTTCCGCCATGTGAGATAGCGAGCGACACAACCACGCAAGAAGTCGCACAGACACATCAATTCATCCTCCAATTAACGTCTCCTTTTGATTCGATTCGGCTCGATTCGGTTCGGCTTTCCACTTCTTTGGATTGACATTTTTATGCTCAATTCATTCTTCGATTAACGAAAAATAGCTTTCATTTCCGATTTCTGAAATTTAATAATGTAGCTCATGCATGGATCGTGGTAGATAAACCTACGTTGATTTAGGCTATGCTTTGTGTCGCTAGGAGTGTTGATTTATTTAGTTAGTTCAGTTTGCATTTGGTAAAGTGCACCAATTAATTAGTTATTTACTTTATTAATTTTCAAATTTCGCACGCTGACAGATTATTAGGGGAATTGGAGGAGGGTGCAGGTACAAGAGCGTCGTTGTTTGTGTTTTCATTTCATCTATGTTTGGAGGTGTTGCCGTTCCTGCTAATAGTCCACACCTACGCAAGTCTGGGAGTAGACCTGTTGTTTATGATCTTGGTAACTTCAATTATATGTCATTTAACAGCATCTGTTGCTATTTTTAAGTTTTTATCTTGTGTTGGGTTGGTGTTCTATGAATACCATATAACTTGTGGTTTTGTACTGTTCTCAGATGAGCCCGAGGTGGAGAATGGCGTCGAGGAAGGTTTATTGCATCCCGTGGATGCAGCTGATTTAAAGGGTAGCGTAACAGCTATTAGTGCTACTTCAATGACACCATCGCCCGCTTTGTTGTGGAGATCCAAGGTTTTTGCATTGATTTGCCTTTTAGAAAGTGTTGTGAACTTTGTTTTAGTTTTTATTTAATAATTTATAGCAATGTATTTAATGCTGTCATTTTAATAAATGCAAAATTTGTTCTGACTTAGTGATGGAATGGAATGTTTCTTTCATTCTGGTGGAGCTGATTAATGTTTGATCCTTTCTGAGAGAAAAATATGTGGTAATTAACATAATTTATTTGAGTACCGAGAAACATAATGAGCTGCTATGTGACTTTGACCCAACCGTGTGCATCCTACTGTTTTCCTACTTTACTTTTCTTTTTCTTTTATTTTTCCTCTTACTTTTTTTCTTCAAGAATGTAATTGAGATGAATGTGTAGGTGCTATTGTTTCTCATTTGGGGCTTCATCTGTTGCAAGGTCAGTGGTATTTCTCTCTACTATGTTTCTATTCAACTCCCATAGTGTGCCCTGTCCTCTAGTATTTCATCATTTTTCCACAATCTTATTTGCCATATTGGAAATTGCAGATTGGATGGGATTCTGTCATGATAATGAGTGCAGACAAGCGGGATTTGTTCCTTTATGAAGCATTTTTGTATTTTAACCCTCTTCTTCTAGCGGTTAGTCACACCCCCTTCCACTGTGTCTCAGTGTGCACATTTGTGTGCCACACTGTGGATGCATGGATTCACCCATTTGCATCCAATTTGTTGTATCGTGTGTTTTATCTCTTTTCTATATTTCAGTCTTTGATGGTTTGGCTGTGGGGAATCAACTTATGGTTTTTTGCTCAAGGTGGAGTCAATTATGCAAAAATATTTGATCTTGATCAAAATCATCTGACTCATAGAGAAATATGGAAGGTATCAACTCACCACTTTGACCTATGTTTTGTTTGGCACATAAAATCAGCATTTGCCAGATGCAAGGAGAATAAAATTGGTAGTGTGATGCCTTGTTGGGAACAAATGTAGAACAATTATCACTATTCCAATATTTGGTTTGCTCAAGAATCTACTTGTATGTTGTTCTTGTCCATTCTGTTTGCATGCTTAGTGCTTGAAATAAGCATTGAATGGACATAATTATAATATAAGTTATAAATAGTAAAGATAAATAAGGAAAGAAAACAAAAATGAATTCTTCCAGTTTTCAAAGAATGACAATTTTGACATCTCTGGGAAGTTATGGGGATTCCCTTTGGTATAATCTGTATAATTTAATCATCATTTCATTTTTTTTTTTTTCTTTTTGCCAAACTAAGGAGTGCTTATTTCTGTGGAATAAATATAGGAACGGAATTATCAATCTGTGTCCTAATTATGCTTTAAATAATTGTTTTTATCACTCTATAATCTTTCTGTTAGTCTGGGTGCTTTTGCCTTCAATTACTGTTATTATATTTCTAAATTGGGACATCTCCATCTATTTGTTTTCATCCATTTCTCTAATATTTCATTTTCTCTTTTTACACCATATCTTCGTTTTCTTATTACCAATAATTACTCTTGAATGATTGACTGAAGTCTTTTATTTCTGTTGATTATTGCAGTGTGCTACATGGATGACAATTATTGTTCCAACCAGTATGACAGCATATATTTATCTTTATTCTCATGGAGAAGTCTCATATGCTGCATCACAACCAGTGTAATAGATGCATCCAACTCATTGATTATTCTTGTTTGCTTGGATATCACTTTTTTTTTTTAATTTAGTTCATGTTAAGTAACAGTTAAATTTGGGGAAATAATTTTTTCAAAGCTTCCTCAGAAATCTTGTAAGCGACGCAATTATATCTTTAAAATAAGCTGAGCCAAACACACATTATATTGTAATTTCATTTCTTGAAAGTTTTTTATTTGATTGCAAAAAGTTTATGATGAACTAATCTAATGGATGCTGCACATTGCCTGCTAAATATCTTTAGCAAATAAGTACTGCTCATGTTACTGGGATGCAGTTTCAATCATTTATTAACAATTTTATATTATTAGACTGGGATGGGGACCCTAGTTTAGTGAAGAGAAAGAGAAACAAAAAGTTATTATGTAGCAATAGTGTTGTGTGATCCATGTACGGGGTAAAGCTTTACTGTTGTTATATTCATTAGGTTTGAACATAAAAAATTCTACTTCAACTGGGATACATGGTATTAATAGCTCTATTATACCTCTTTCTTTTTCTTGTGGCGGGCCAAGGAAGGGATCAATTTAGTGTAATTCTTTTAGCATCATATTAGATGCTTTTATTTAAATATCTTTAAAATGGTTACTTAACATATTTATTTGTTTAAATTCAATATTGGTAGTTTGCGCTTGTTTGAATCACCCAAGCTGTCTGGTCTCAAAATGTAATAAGATATTTACATCATAGCAAGTTATACTTATTTATATCAGCAATGAAAAGCATACTCAGTATTCAGTAACTCAGTAAATTCAGGTTAATCATCATATAGAAAATAACTTGTAAATACATATTTTTATTCATTGCAATATGAATGATTGATGGACATTTAATTCTATTTTGCGCTTCCTTTTTTTATCATGTTGAAATTTTTTTAAAAAAATTCCTTTTACTATTCTGCAGGTGCTCTTATATGCTGCCGCTGGGATGGTTTTGATATTCCCCTTTGATATCTTTTATTTTTCTACTAGATATTTCTTCTTAAGGACACTCTGGCGAATAGTTTTCCCATTACAGGCAAGTTTTCTCTTATTTGAATATATTCTGTTAGTAACTTCGTATGTTATACTCTAGAAATAGTTGACACTCTAGCATCAGGCTTAGATTTATGCTATGCATGAGCGGGCAGGATATATAAAGCTTCAAAATAGATTGTTAGAGTCATATATAACTTATGCACCTGCTTCTCTGCATTCAGTTTTCATCTAAGTTACAGAAGTATTCATGCAACTCTCCCTCTTGTTCGGTAGCCATTAAAAAAATGCAATTAGTGTTAGAGCCTTAGATGAGATGCTCACATGCTGTTCCAAGTGTAATGAAGTAACAAGACAAGCTGGAAAGACTGTGCATCATAAGTAATAAGTCATTTAAAACAATTGATAACCTTCTTATCATAGCCTTTTTAGGTGCATCCATCTATGACATTGTTTGTGTACAACATATATACTATGTGCATGTGCACAAGTTAAACCCTTGAAGAGGCTTCATGTTGAACATTCCTTGAAGATATGTGGGACCTGTTGCAGTGTTTAGCTTTGATGCATAGAGGAGAACTATTCTTGTTCTTTATTTATTCAGATTCTTAAGACTTGATTCTTCAAGCATACTGTTTGAACTTGGAACTATGCTTGAATATTATCTAACTGTTTTCTATTTTCATTAAAACAGGCAATTTCATTTGCAGATTTTTTCTTGGCTGATATCCTAACTTCCATGGCAAAGGTCTTCTTCCTTTTCAATATTATATTTCTATTAAAAAAAGTCTTTGTCATCCTCTTTCATGTTAATCTTTATCATTAGGTTTTGAGCCTAGTCTATTTCTTTTAGAGATTTGAAGCTGTATACTTTTTCTTGCATTTACTTATGTTTATGTTTGTGGATATAGAGGACTAAGACTAACACAACCTGAGAGCTTAGAATTACATAATCTGTTGATCTAAATTTTTGTTTGCAGTAATGCATTATTATATGTTTTTTTATTATGGTTGCAATTGCAAATTCATGCAGGTCTTTTCTGATTTGGAGAGATCAGTTTGTAGAATGGTCCATCGACAGGTTTGCTTCTGATCAATGGCTTTTAATGTCTTGTAGTTGATTTCAGAGTTTCTATTTTTCATTTTATTATAGCACACTTGAGTATTCTATTCTGATTATTACAGAACTTGATAAAGTTTAAGTATATGATGAATAAATTTTGTTTAGGATTGGAATAATGGAGCAAGTTTCTTTGATTTCATTCAAAACATTTTCTAGAACTAAATCAGTTCATTTGATGTTTTAGTATTGAGATTTGTAACTTAGTTGCAATTTTGGTGGTACATATTGTTCTATGTTCCAATGGAGCTTAATTTTTAATAAATAGACTTTTTGGACTTGTATATTAAGTTTTTGCTTACTTTGAATGCTTCATTTCTGAACTTAGGGGATGCATTTTTTAAATTTTTTGTAGGTTGCCACAATTGCGTGGTTGGAAGCTGATTCTGTGTGTGGCAGCCACTCTGTTGCAATCCCTTTCGCTCTTGTTTTGCCTTATCTTTTCCGCTTAAACCAATGTCTCCGTCAGTATAAGGATAATGGAGAGAAAGCTGCTCTTCTGAATGGTAAGAATTCTGTGTTGTTCAGTAATGCACCTTTTTGTTTCTGTTTTAGAACTTATTTCAATCATCATCAAAAATTTGCAAGTTAATGTAATACAAAACTTTTTTTTGCCTTTTTGGCATTTTATCACAAACTTGTGTTTGTGTCAATTGTCAAAATCGTCTCATACATAATTTAAGATTACAGTGCATGTTTCCATCGATTTTGAAGCTTTGTTTCCAATCCAAGTGTTTTAACACTCTATTTCTTATTAGCACTAATATTTAGTGAGGTAACAGCATGTCTCTATGTCAGCTTTCCTGAGCATATTTTGTTTGAAATTGTCTTAATAATTTCTAATATCTCTTTTTGTTCATGGAAATGTGATGTTGTTTATGTTTTTAAGCTAATAAAAACTTGCCAGGTGAACATAGGACAACTTTTCGATGTTGGAATTATCTTTTGCGCATGATGTAGTTATTCCACTCTCCTTTAAAGGTCTTCAAGCTTGCTTATTTTTAACCCAATGCACTGATTCTCATAATTTATTAGAGGCTGTTAGGTGTAACTCTATATGAAATGAGACATTTTTTGCTGAGTTTTCATGATACGTGACTGGATGCAGATGTTGTAATGATTTTTGCAGTATGTATTATTCTTATCATTAGAGAAAGAAACAGAATGAAACATAAAATATTCTTGTCAAGGACTACTGACAATCTGTATTTTGCTTCTTTTATGTTGTTTGTAAGATGAAATTTTAAGACTTCTCGTCTATACTTGGTTTTGTTTTATAATTCAATTTTCATGGTTTTCCATAATATTGAGAATACAATTATGTCCAAAAATTGAGAAGTCGTGGTCAATTTTTTTTGGCTGATTTGGTTTATAATCATTCTGCTGTTTGTATGTTAACTGCTGCTTTAGATATTCTTACATTGAAGATTAAATTCTTTAATTATTAATGAACATCATGTTTTTCAAACAGATGGTTTGTCTTGCACTGATGTTCATTTCTTTTGGCTATGGTTTCAGCTTTAAAATATTCGACTGCAGTGCCTGTGATTTTTCTCTCTGCCCTTAAATATCACGTCTTCCCTGATAAGTGGACAAACTTTTATAGGCCTCTATGGCTTCTGTCAGGTGTTGTGAACTCGTCATACTCCTTCTACTGGGATGTAAATCGAGATTGGGACCTAGGGTATGTCGGTGTTTGTCCTACCATGCACTTTAATAGTATCTTTGAGTTGAGCTTTTAATTGAAGAGATGTAGATTCTACTGGCAGTAATGTCTTTATACCTTAGCCAAACACCTCAAGAAATAGAAGAAATTAATATTATTTCCGGAGGCTAGTTATTTTTTGGATCTGACGAGTGTCGGTTGACTTACTACGAATTAATTATTGCTTTCTCTTTTGGCAGTGGCTTCACTCGAATATTCAAGTTCAACAAGCCACATCTGTTCTCACATATGTTACATGGAAGGAGATGGGTAAGTCTTGTTATGAAATAGATTGAGTTCAGCAGTACTCTTTTCCCTTGGAATTTATTATTATATTGATTTTTCAAGGTAAACAGTGGGAACTGAGTTACACAAAATTGACTTTAAATGGATCAAAATATAAACATTTATGGACTTGGGGCTTTTCAGAAAAAAAAAAAAAAAGACGTCCTGTATTGAGGGCCAAGTATGCATATTCCAAAACATGAAGATAAGAAGATAAAAATGATTTTGCAATTATAAAATTTTAAATAGGCCATGGAATCCTCATTTCACAATAAGCCATCCGTTCATGTAGGCAAAATCTATTAAAACCACTTAAGATAACTCTTCTTATGCTTATAATCTTATTAATGTGATTCGGCCGGTTTACTGAGTACATAAATCCACATGGTGTAAAAAGAAAATAACAGTGTTGAACTAAAACAAGACCTGATTGTTTTCTCTATGTGCTAAAGTGGTTTACATACACATACAGGTTTACTTTTGGGTGATTGGAAGCAATTTGATTTTGCGTTGCACGTGGACATATAAACTTTCTGCCCATCTTCGTCATAATTACCTCACGGTGTTCATAATTGCTGCTTTGGAGATTTTCCGCCGCTTCCAGTGGATCTTTTTCCGTGTTGAAAATGAGTGGAACAAGATGAATTCCAAATCACACTTGCATCTGTCGGCCAAAGAAATCCCAAACGATGAAGAGAAATTACTTCATTCATTCCATTAACTACAGTGTATAGGATAGATAGAGTATGATGCCTAATGCTGTGGCAGTATCATACAAGGTATATTTCAAATATTTTGACGACAGGGTATCTCCATTCCTTATGATTCCATTCCATTGGCTTGGGTACCCCTCGATATTAAATGTCATTCTTTATTCACAAAAAAGAAAAACATTTTATTCTTATTGTCTCTTCAGCAATATCTTATTACATACTGTAACGATTTTATCATGTACAGCAAGCCTTCTGGTTAATATCATCGTTTATATATGGATCAGTAGTAGTACCCACAATATGTCGGGTGTTCACAGGGTGAAAAAGAAAATGTGATATCGTAAAAAGGCAACGCAACCATCCTTAAATATAATAGTATTATTACTGGTCTCTCTGGATTAAAAGTTGGCTGCATCATTGTTCCTTTACCGATTCTACAAACACTAACAAAACATGATTTTGCCCGTGCCTTTTGGCCGGTAGCTATTATTCAGTCACAGCTTCGACATTTATGCTTGCTGAAGTTCCTTCATAGGCCTAGTATGTGTGGTGTACGAAGATAGACCTCAAGTTTTGTTTACACACGAACAAACCGAATAGAGTTTATGTTGCCAGACTGTATTCTCGTGCATGGCTTGTTTTCTTTCTGAGACAACCCGAGGATGGGGTGGGGACCCTTGATAAATAATATTAGTGGCTCGAGATTTACAAGGTAAAGGATGCTATACTTTCAATCGCAATCCTAATATTTCGTTTGTGGTAGAGCCACACACGTCAGTCATACAGTTTGAGTGGTTCCTCCAAACTAGAAGATAACAAACAGGATTGCATTTAACGCCCTCGATAGTCTTTAACCACTACAATAGTAGCCATGAGCATCTACAGTTATAAGACCCTCTGGTGAAACCACCAAGATGGCCTAAATGTTAACAGCAAGTGAATACAGCAACAACCATAGTCGGCAGCTGCAGCCGGAAACAAGCCTGTCCGAGCTGAACTTGCCCAGAGTGCTCTGTGTCCTGTCTTCCATGTTAGAGAAGCTGGTAGTTCGTAATGAAAAGCTTGTGGATGTTCTGAACCAGCAGCTAGATGGACTGAACTGTGGCTCAGTAAGACTTGGTAACAGCTTGAATACTTTTCATGGCGTAAGAGCGCCAAGCATAAGCATACCTAGGTACTTGGAGAGGATATACAAGTACACTAATTGCAGCCCATCATGTTTTGTGGTTGGCTATGTGTATATAGACAGGTTAACACATAGACACCCTGATTCGCTCGTCACGTCCTTGAATGTGCACAGGCTGCTAGTTACCAGTGTCATGGTCGCTTCCAAGATGCTGGATGATGAGTGAGTCCCTGCTCCATTTCCTCAGTGACATTTGGTTACGATCATGGTTTCCATGGGCTAATTTCCTTAACTCCAAATGCCATTTCTGTTATGCAACGTTTTAAATTGCATTCAAGTTACAATTTTATCGCGTTTCTTCTTATTATAAACGCTGCCGATATTGGGATTGCTGACCGTCTTTTAAAAGCTTGATGTCATATATTTTATTTAAATGTGGTGTATTGAGGGGTTTTAGTTTAGCTAATTTTATTTGTCTTATCACATAATTCTTATAGCTTACACTCTCATAGTACCTTATTCTTCGGTTGTGAGTTGTAGACATTATAACAACGCCGTGTATGCTCGAGTAGGAGGAGTGAGCAACGCTGAATTGAACAAGCTTGAGCTAGAGTTGCTCTTTCTGTTAGATTTTGAAGTTTTGGTAAGCTCTGGAGTATTTGAGAGCTACTGCTTTCACTTAGAAAGAGAGATGGTTGTGAATGACAGAGGCATAAAAATTGAAAGGGCATTGACACTAAAGGTTATGAATGACCTTGAGGCTGAAATATCCGTTGAAGATAAACAAACTCCTTCCCCACCTCAAATTCTACACTGACATGTTTGCCGTTGGTTGTAAACAACTTTGCTTCCATATCCTTCTTAGTATCCTTCCCATTCACGGTATGTCAATAATTGGATATTTTTGGGCCAATTTCTTTTCTTGTATTTCAGCTCTATGTTCTGCAAAACAAAATACGACACTGATATGATTCATACTAACTAAATTAACCTTACTTTCACAACAAAATACAGTTATATTACTTTTTCTTTCTTTTCTATTTTAAGCTTATTATTCTTGAAAGAAAAATATTAGCAAAACACTCTTTTTTTAAACATATTTTTTATTATAATCTAGTACTTATTTTTAGATAATTACAACTTAGAATAAACATTGAAATATCCATTTCCTATTCATCTTCTTACAGGCACAAGTTGAAAATTGGTCTTATTTTTAAATAATTGAATTTTAATTAAATTGATATAAAATAAAAAAATTAAATTTGTAGGTAAAATCAATTTTGATTAAAAAAAACTAAAACCATTTTTTTAAAGATATATTATATTTTAATTTATTTTATCTCATTAATATCATCAATTATTCTAGTAAATGTTTATTTTATTTTAATTACTATTCATAATTTGTTTTAATATATTTTATATTTATAATATTATTATAATTTATTTATCATCATAATAATAATACTTATTATTTTTATTTATTATTAATAATTTTATTATATATTTACTATATTATTAAAATATTATTTAAATTTAATTTAACATTTAAATCTTAAACTCATGTTTTTATCATTTACTAATTTAAAAAATATTGATAAATAAATAAAATTTGTATAAAAAATGATAAATTGTAGTCATATACCTCTCTCTCTCTCTCTCTCTCTCTCTCTCTCTCTCATATATATATATATATATATATATATATATTAGTTTTCAATAAATCTTAACTAACGAAAGAGGGTGTTGCATTATTGAGATATATAGTACAGTTTGACAAACACGTGGGAAAGTACGTGACCAAATTAGTAACCTCGTATTTCCTATTACTATTGGACTTTTCTTAAATCAATACAATATTTGCAAAATCGTTGAAAAAAAAAAGCATGAGGTTGAATTTGAATTGAATCAGAATTTCAAATATCAAATTAATTTGTGACATAAATTAATATTAAACTAAAACTAATTGTTCATATTGCATACAATTTGAATAGTGAACTAATAATTTATCAATTGAACATAGAAAGGCAATTTGAACCGTGAATATAATGTAATTTAGAAAAATATCAAACCTTTTTAGAAAAATTTCAAATTTTTAGAAGTTATATATTCTTCAAAATATTATAATAAAAAATTATATTTTACTCTTTTATGTATTTTTAATTGGGGCTTATTTAGCCATAAACTATGCTATTAATTATCTAATATTGAAAACAATCATACATGATCTTTATCACTCCATTTCGATTTATTCTTCGTAGCTATAATTAAATAATCAATATCTTTATTTTCTTCCTTCATTTAGACTATTTTAAAATTTTATTAAAAAATATATTATAATGCTAATTTTTTTTTTAAACGGGTTCTTAAAATATATTTTTTTTCCGTCATGCATGTAATTTAAATCTCTCACCTACCTGCTTTTTAAAGTTTTGTCTCTATCTCATTTCTAAATTTAATTTCAATACTTTATTTTAACAATTTTTTCAATTATAACAAATTATTTTATATTATTCATTATAAATTTAATTATATATATATATATATATATATATTAAAATTAAGCATTCATTTGATGTAATGTACAAACTAAAATACTATCAACCCTAAGAGTATAATAATGTAAAGACTTATATTTCTACATCCAATAAATAATATATTAGGTGAAAATTTTCATTTTATAATAGCTTAGTTTTGCCCCAAATAAATACAAGAAAATAAAATGAACTTCTTTTATAATAATTTTTTATTATATTATAAGTTTTTATGTGTCTCGAACCTATTAACAAGAAAAAGTGTCATGTGAAGTAAGAAGCTTTTTTAATTATAAACTATATTATATTTATTTAATGTATAACCGTTATTACAAAGTAATTTCTATTATTTGTGAACACAACGTGTCTTACCACTAAGATCATATAAAAGTAATTCATAATTCTTATCATTTCTTTTCTTTTTTTCTTTTTACTTTATTCAAATAGCTTGTTTTATTTTATTTCTTATATTTTAAATTTTAATTTTGACAATTCAACTTTTAAGTCAAGTTTGATTCTTTTAAAATAGTTACCATTATTTGTTATTTTAAGATAAAAATTATTGACTTATTTAAGACATAGAAATAGCTCTATTATACTTACTTACATAAAAACTATATAATTTAATTAATGTTTAACAAATAATAGTTATAATTATAATGAAAACTAATGAGCTTGGCGAAGTTTTTTTATATCTTCTCATATTTAGTTTAAAAATATTAATATATATAATAAATTATATGATATTAATTTATCTATTTTAAAAAATAATATCTTATATTTTTATTTTAGTAAAATATATTACAATTGAGTATTTGATTATTCAATTGAAAGTTAAATAAAATCGATTATTTTTTAATATTAATAAAAAAATTAAAAATTTTGATTTTAATCGATTTTATTTTTTTAATAATTTTTTTTATTTTTTAATTGATTCCATTTTTAGTACTAATAAAAAAAAACCCATGATGTAGAAAAGAAATGGTGGATGTTGATTAAATTATTTTTTCTAATGGATTTCATTTCCAATTAAGAAATGGGAAATGGGAGCATGGAATTTGGTAATTGACCCGAAACGAGGTAATGTTAAATTGACAAATTTGGAGGAAATCTGTAAGCTCTGACGGCAGCTTATAGCGGTCGTTGACGCAAACAAATAATCTGTTTGGGTTTCGCTTTCGAACATTGATTCTTTATTTTCTTTGCAAAATCCTCACACTGATCGCCGCTCAGAAATTGAACTTTCCACCTCCGATTTCAGCATTCCGGCAACGGCGAGCTATGGCCACCGGAGGCGACGGTGACACCTCCAAGCAGGAGCTCTTCCACCTCATCAAACGCTTCGGAGCTTATGTTACATTCAAGATCTCCAATTTTTTCCCTCTCTCTCTCCACAACCTCGTATTCCTATTATCCCTCTCTCTCTCTATACCCGCTTCCTTGCTTTAACCTCAATTTTACTTTTTGTTTTTTAATTCATTAATCGGCCATTTTTCGATTGGATCTGATTTGGTATTAAAATCTTATCTTTTTGCGAATTGTCTCTTGCTTAATTCGTAATTATTCGTTCCTCTATTTCTGTTTTAGACTCTTTGTTTGGAGTTTAGATTTGGGTGATTTCTTTGACGCTTTATCGTTGAATGAATGGTTGTGATCCGGGATTGTGTAATTCTCAATTTTAACTCTGAAAGTTTATCAAGTGTTTTTTTTTACCTAGTTAATTTATTGTTGGGTGTGGGTAGAAAGGGCTGTTTTTAATGTTTTTGTCAAAATTTTAAAGAAAAAAATAATTGATGCATTTTGTTAAAAATTGAGTATTGTAGGGAAGGTGAAAATGGTGATTAGTATCTGGTGCTACTTATCTATTTTAGTGAAGTTGTAGGGAATAAATGATCGAAGTATTGTTTTGAGAATGTCTTTTTCATTGATTTTGGCAATAATACGCTTGGTATTAGGATATACGCTCTATTGGGGCAGTTGCTGGTCTTGCTGTTGCAATTGTTTTCACATGGAGGCTGTTGAGATCTCCTTCTGGGTCTCAGCGGAGGCAGCAAAAACGGCAAGGCGCTTCATCTAGTAATCCTGGAGTCTCTACGCATTCGAATGTGTCGGTGGTTCCTTCAGATGCTTGTTCACCCTCAGATGATTCAAGGGCACAAAATGTTGTTGATGAGTTCTTCCAGCCAGTCAAGGTAATGATTTTATGGCTTTCCATTTTGTTGAGACAATGTGTTAATGCTTTTGGATTAATGCAAGACAAGTTTGAACGAGTTTCATACCTTTGCTTGTGATTGGTAATTCTGAGCTTGCTTTTTCTTAACTTTTTCAGCCAACCTTGGGCCAGATAGTTAGGCAGAAGTTGAGTGAAGGAAGAAAGGTAATGAAAATATACTCTTTCTGTTATTCTTCTTGACTAGTGATGCCATGCTTAGTTTGTTGTTGTTATGGGTTTATCGAAATGAATGTCTCTTGTCATTATAAGAAATCTCTATCTTGGATGACCAACTTAGATCTTAATATACTGAAAGCTTAGTTAATCGGTCATAGCTTTACATATTAGATTTGCATGACATTTACACGTGTTGGGCAATCACTTTTTGAAGTTGAGTCTGAATGAAAATGGTTTTGGAAGATTGTTGTAAAATTGTTCGTTTTTATTGCTATATATTCTTTAGCCATTGTTATTAAATTTGTGCCTCGTCAGTTCCTAATCTCCCTTTGATTGATAATCAAATGGCTTCAATTATTGTGTGTGATTTGGATTAGCGTTCTCAATATGCATACTGTCTTGAGGCAGAGTTGGTAAAATTACTCATAAAAAACATCTCTTGTTGATAGAATGAGCATTGTTACGTATCAACAGTTTCTCAATTTTAATTTTGAAGTTCAATGATTGATGATAATCTCTTTACTATCTAAAATTTTAGGTTGTAAATAAAACTATTTAGATATACATGCTACTTCTTATGCTTACTGTTAGGTGGAAATTTAAGTCTTTTATGTTACTTATTTTGTCTATAGTGATAGTTGGTGCTAACAGCCAGCTACTACTATATTATTCATGTGTTAAACCTGAATAAGAGATTTTACATACCTTCTTTGTGCAACATTTTTTGTTTTAATTTGATTGTGACTATCGATGAAATGAGAAACATTTGTTACACATTAGTGTTTTTAGTTATTACATGTTGGCATGTGACTAATGTTTCCTAACTGTTATGGCCAATCTGTTTATGGACTATGTAGGTAACTTGTCGTCTTCTTGGAGTGATCCTTGAGGAAAGTAGTCCAGAAGAACTGCAGGTGATGAAATTGCCCCTTTTATACTTCTGTTTTATCACATCAATGCAGAGAAAGATATCAATGTGATTCATGATGTTCTTGGCAGAAACAAGCTACTGTGAGATCCTCTGTGCTAGAAGTATTATTGGAAGTAACAAAATTTTGTGATTTATATCTCATGGAACGAGTTCTGGATGATGAAAGTGAGGTGTGTCATTTGTCAGTTTATACCAGTACCGCATTGTGTCTTATTTGATGAATATAATGGAATTAGTTAACATTTCACATATATGCTGAAAACCTTCCCACTTTCTCGAACTGTTCTTTACAACCAAGTAATTTTATAAAAGTGAACAAATATATTGTACAGTCGCTTGGGGCAACATGATTTGTTTAATCCTTAATGTCAGTTGAAGATGTGATTTTCTGCTATCAATTCTTAGTTTTTTTGTGTATAAAATTATTTGAAACATCCCACACAGTGGTTATTAACATAATTTATTATATCTACAATAAAGCAATTTATCACTACTTTTTGTGAAGGAATTTTTTTTTTAATTAGCATGAGGGTTTTGTCAAGTCAGAAAGTGAAGTGGCTGACTTACATTTGCAGAAACTAAAGTGGGGATAACTCTTATATACATCATGGCATCATGCTAATGTTAATTTGTTGAGATGGTACATATCTTACAGATGGTTACTATTAGGTGCAAAAAAATTTGTCACAGGTCTAATACTCTGTTGCTTCCTTGTAGTATATCGTATTGTTAAATGTTTACACTTTATTTGTGGACTATTTTTGCAGAAAAGAGTTCTTGTAGCATTGGAAGAAGCAGGGGTATTCACTTCAGGTGGTTTGGTCAAGGACAAGGTAAGAGAACAAGCATGAAGCAATTACGCATAATTTTTTATTTTTTATTTTTCTTTTTGTAAAGCTTAATAAACTTCTAGCTGTACTATTTCTGGGCTTTTTGTCAACCATTTTTTTTATGTGAACAAATATTTTTCACTCTGTGAACATCTTTTTGTATGAAACACATGTTGATGGACAATATGGGAGTATCTATTTCATTTTCATTCAGAATGTATTAAAATTATCTGACAAAGGTTATCTGTCTGTGATTAAAATTTTTATTGGTAGACATCTTGATCAGATATGTTGAGAATAATTTAAAGATTGCACTTAGAGAGAGAACCTTTAGTTTTCTGATCTTTTCTTTGAAGAATATTGATTAGTGTTGAGAAGACTGAAGAGAGATAATAAAATATGTTTAGGGGTCATATGTTGTTTGTTTATTAGTTTTCTTCAAGAGGTCCTTGAATCCCTGATTTCTGAAACCATTGGTCGGGACTGTCTCTTCATCTTCCCTTCAAAAGTTATATCCGCTTGATCATTATATTTAGTTCAACAATCAAGAAAAAAGATGATTCGTAGCACGCAACTGTCTTCTGTATATATTATGAATACTGTCAGTATCCATGATTTCAACTCACTGCTTACTGTCTATTTTTTCTATTACGTTTCCTAATAACTTTTTTGTACTCTATTTTGATCTGTGGCACCTTCATGCAGGTTTTGTTCTGCAGCACAGAGAATGGACGGTCATCATTTGTTAGGCAATTGGAACCTGACTGGCATATTGATTCAAATTCTGAAATTGTCTCTCAATTAGCTGTATGTTGCTATATGTGTCTCAACTTTATCCATCAAGTCAAATTCAGACTGTGATACAATAACCATTTCGTTTTTTACTATTATTCTTGTTGTTGAAGCTACAGTATCACCATGCTTAATTTTATCTTCTAACGATTAAGAACGAATTATGTTGCAGAGGTTTATCAAGTATCAACTTCATGTATCTCCTTATAAAGCCGAAAGAACTGCTGCAAATGTGTTCAGTGCTCCATCTCTGGAACAGTTCTTTGGATCCATATGACCCTAAAACCACTACAGATCTATATAACTTTCTAAGTGCATCTTGGTTTTCACATTCACCACAAGGTTTTTTATTTTTACTTTTTTTTTTTCCAGTTTTTCTAGATGTATGAGAACAAAGTTAGGCTTTTGTTGAAAATTTAACGTTCTCACTCTAGGTAGGTGAAAGACCTAAAGTTCATGAAGATGCTTTCAAGAAGAAGTTTAATTTTCTTTTTTCTTTGGTTTGAAATTTGTGCATTAAATTGTATCCATCCAGACATTTTAAACTGGCAAGGTGACAAGTTTTACTAGATGTTTGTATTTTATCATGTTTCATTAGAAGATACCATCATGAATCATATTAGTAATTATCCTCCAAATATCAAGTGGCTATGAAAGAAGTTTGTTATTCTTGATTGTACACTTATGAAACGTTGGTGTATATGCATCTTTCTGGTAACGAGCAAGCCACATGAACAATAAAAAATCAATAGCATGGCTCAAATAACACCATAGTTTGTTTTATGTCGTTATAATAAACTAAACTGGGCAATGCACGTACATTGTTTAAATGCAACTAAAATAAATACATTTAATATTCACCAATTAGCCATTAAAGTTTGGGATCGAATATGTAAAGTATGGTATTCATATAAAGATAAAGAGAAGTATATCTCCATCCTATTCACGAAGTAACTTAATCAAATTAAAGAATTAAAAAGAAAAAAAATCTTTAGATTTGTAAGATAGCCTGTGATGCTTAGTTGACAAATGGTTGCATGAGAGGTTTGTTACACCTGGTGGAGGATATGATGTGTGTCCTTTGTGTGACTAATTTGATATATTTTTACTTTTTTAATAGATATAAAGTCTACTGATGAAAACTTCTTTTGATATGATGGGGAGTAGTTTTATGATGAACACTTCCTTAATTACATCTTTTATTATTAATGAGTTAAAGGTGCATTGAAATGAAGCTACCACATTTATCATAGACAACGCAAACATTTATTAAATCTTGTATTTTATTTCATGGAAGTAATTACATTTTTATAAAACGAAAAAAAAAACAAGAAACTCAAACCGTGCACATCATATATGCAATTCACTCTGGTTTAAAATAGATAAATAACTGGGAAAAAATAGCTAAGAGAAATAGATTGGGAAAGTGTGATACTGTAGAATGTAATTCAAAGGAAAAAATAAAAATTTCACACCCGAATCTTGTCTTGGACTCCAAAAAGTTTCATTTATAGGATTCAGAATCTAAATAACACATATTTACTAACTGTGTTAAATTTGTTATCATGAAAAATAATAGTTTAGAAAAAAGAATACAATAAATTGGACTGGCTCTGGCGTAATCTCAATGAAATTGAAAATAATTTTCTGAATTTTTTTTTACCCTCGTACATGATACTATATATATATATAACCTTTTCCAAAATAAGTTTTTAATTTAGTTATTAACTTATCAATAATTTTTAAGGCTGTTTTGATTACCAATATAACTCATACATCATTCATTTTGATTGGAAAAAAATTAAGTTCACGGAGTATAAATGAATTTGAATTTTGTCCGTTTTAAAAAATTAAAGATGGGAAGGGTCTTATGATGAGTAGATGAGTATTGTAATTCTCTGTACCATCTCCTCCCCCAAATTCTTTATCATATTATACATAAAATCTTTTTTTTTTTTTTTCATTTCACCTTTTTATTATTCTTCTATCCCTTTTTAATCTCATAAATCAATTTGAAAAACATAAAATTAATTTTTTTTATCAATTTTTTAAATATTCTATATCAATATTAGTAATAATTAATATTATTTTATTTCTAATTTATTTTTATTAATTTATATCTATTATATATTAAATTTTATCTTAATAAAATAATTATATTTTAAAAATTAGAAAGAATTGATAATTTAAACTTTTTTTGCTTTAAATTAATTAAATAAAAATTATCTTATTAATTTTTTTTTATAAATTATGTATTTTATATATATAAATATTTTAAAATGATAATTTAAAAAATAATTAATATATATATATATATATATATAATCAAGCATATAATATATAATAATAATATAAATATTCTATATTCTTATATAAAAAATATTAAATATTTCTTTTATATTCATATTTCAATATAAATATAATAAGTAAAATATATATTTATAAAAATCATTAAATTATAAATATTTATTTTTATAAAAAATATTAAAAATAATTTATTATAAATATAATTATTTTTAAAAAATAATATAAAATAAAGATAAATCAAAGATAAAAAACTGAAACCAATACCGATGACTTAATTTTTAAATTGAACGACGACCGACAACAAAAGACGGGACAGTTAAAAAAGAGGCAAAACCCACTGCAATGCTTAATATTATTAGATGACATGGTCAAGAACTAACTATGAAATATATGAATCAAATTAAAAATAACGGAAAAGTATAAATACTAAAATTAAAAATTAATATATTAAAGAATATAAAAATTACAGTGTTTCTAGTTCATACAGCAGTATTTATTTGCAACATAAAAAGACTGGTATTTTGACATTGAAAACAATCACACCACCAAGAATTAAATTAAAACCTTTCCATGTAACGAAAATTGTTAAAAATTTAGACTTTAAAAATGAGTATCATAGTTTAACAGAGCTTTTAATATATTAAAAAAAAAGTTAAATTACATGGAATGGACCGAAACATAGTGATGATATGTTTTCAGATGTTATTGTTATTGCTATTGCTGCTACTGTCTTAGTTTTTATGCGCCGTCATGTGTTTGTGACACATTTGTGTTGCTGACATCAAACTCACTCTCACCCTCTTCCAACCTTACATGGAGCCCGTTTGCCCTATTGGGTTGCTGTGTGCCTCTGAAATCTCTGCTCTTCTCTCTCCTCCCTCACCTCTTCAAGTTCAGGTAATCTCGTCATTGATTTGTGATATATCTTCGACAATCATTTTTATTTTGTTCTGCAATTGATTCAGGAATATTATAACAACCTTTTGTCTTCAAGAGGTTGCACTGGTATCACAGTCAAACAGGATGGCAAGTTTGGAAAAGGTATTTTCTTCAGTAATTCGAGGAGCGTGTATTTATATTATTTTTGCATTAACAGTTGTTAAATTTATATGTACATCTTTCACTTTGTTTTGTGAGTTGAAGTTTTATGCAAATTTTACAATATGTACTATTAACCAATCAGAAATTATTATTCCTGTAACCTTTATAGTAGTTATTGGAAAAATCAACAAAACGATTAGTGATTCAATGACATAGTAAATTCTTATTCGTGTTTCAATGTGTTACACGATGTGTTTCTTCTGCAATGTAGGTGTATATGCAGACAAGGAGTTCAAAGAGGGAGAACTTGTGCTGAAGGACCCCATGTTTGTGGGGGTTCAACATTCCCTCAACAAGGTTTGTTTTTATTTTCACTATTTTTGTTCTTGTGTAGCCACATAAAGATGTTTGTTTCTTTCTCTTATTTTCTACCATGCTTTGCAGATTGATTGTTTGGTCTGTAGTTTCTGCTTTCGTTTTATTGGTTCCATTGAACTTCAAATAGGAAGGAGGCTTTACATGAAACAACTAAGTGCCAATAAGATTCATGGATGCGATGTTGGAAACTCTTCACAAAACTTCCATGGAATGGATTCATCTGATGAAGAGGAGAGCACTCAGCAATGTACTTCTGGGAGTTCCAAAACTAAGGTTCCTCTCCCTGAAGGTGTTGTGGAATCATTAATGAATGGCCAATTGGTGTTGCCTTACTCTGAGAAGTTCTCCTTGCCGCCAGCTGTTCCATGCCATGGTGGATGTGGAGAAGCCTACTATTGCAGGTAAGACTATGGTTGCTTGAAGAAGAAAAAATAGAGTATATACAATGCCTTTCTTTTGTCAATGTTTCCTGCCAAGCCAAGCAAGCAGCAGGAATAAATGATTACTGTGAAAACTTGTCAAAATTTCTTCTCATTTAATTATTTAAAAGAGTAAAATTAATTGTAGGTTTGATAGTTTGGCACTTTGCTAATTTGCAGTGACCACTTACCTGTAAACCTCCTCTATATACTTAAAACAAGAATATAATAAGAAAGCTAGTTAGAGCATTGATTTTGATACATCTATTGTATGCATGAGATTGTGGTAAACTCAAGAGTAAGCATGCCGAATTATCTATTTATCATGGGAACCAATTTGGTCATTAGGCCAGATTTACAATTCAAGACAGATACCCCAGAGTTTCCCCCTTAGAAGGAGTCTCTTCGTTCTGCATTCAGCCATTAGTAAATCTACCTGACAAATAACCTCCCCCAAGCTCCATACGCTAAAAGCATCATAATATCTGTCATACTGCCTAAATAACTGCATAAAGACAGAAATAGTACACACACAAAATTACTTATCCCTATGTACCTAAATTTTTGTCTACGTAACTACATAAAGACATACTTCACAAACACTAACAATTCTGGCCTAGTGAGTCAGACAGCAATTTATTCCTTCTCATACAAACTTTTCAAGGTCTATTAGATTGAAAAAGAAAAAGAGAGACAGCAGACTTGGACTCCATAAAGATTTGCACCATGTTTTATGTACCCAATTTTACAAACAGCACAATGTAGCTCTATTCCTGTGTCTTAAAAAGATTTCCCAGATGATGTCTGTTCTTAACTTAAGCTTCCTGTGGTTACTGCGATATCTGCTGTTGTACATCATTCTTTTGCGTTTTGAAGTATGATATAATCTCTTCTGATGGCGTAGTCAATACCTGTAGCATGTCATGTGCAGAAGCTGATTGGGAATCCTCCCATTCGCTACTCTGTACTGGTGAGAGTTCTGATCCAGCTCGTAGAGAGGCACTCCTTAAATTCATCAAACATGCTAATGGTAAGATTCCAATGGGGATAAATAATTTTAAACATTCTAAATTTGTTGTGATCTTATTCTTTTTTTATTTTCCATTTCTTGCTTATTTGTATCTTTTATTTTTATTTTTTTCCAGAAACAAATGATATATTCATCCTTTCTGCAAAGGTGAGGTTTAATTTTTTTGTGAATTTCATATGTATTGAATGCTGCTTGAAGAAATGCACAGTCACATCACATGTATGTTGTTTATGCACATATACGTGATAACAACGCCAGGTATTATTTGTCATTAGAGTTCAATAAGGATTAGTATGTAATGTTTAGTAAATGGCAACACATCTATCAAATCAAATAGAAAAACATTTTGGTGAAAATTTTACTTTCATAAGACAATGCTTCTTCCTCAACATTATGGTGAAAAACATTGCATATATCTTTTTTGTTTTCTCTAATATGGCCTTTAATTTGACATTAGACATAGAAATGTGTATCTTTAGATGCTTAACTTATGAAATTAAGCTATTTTTTATTAGTCTTGCATTATTTATCTCTATTTATCTGACCGTTAGCCTGGTTGGATTTTGTGAGTAGGCAATTTCTTCTACCATTTTAAGGTATCACAAGTTAAAAGCAAACAGTCTTGAGAAACAAGTGAAACATGATACGTCCTGTGTTTCAAACCAACGTAGTTTATCTTTTCTTTTGGAAGCTTGGAGGCCCATATCGATGGGACATAAGAGAAGGTAATAGGGAAGCTAATGCTTTCCTAATGTGTGATTAAATTTTTTGAGGAAGAGTTTTATAAATATGCATGATTCCTGGCATACACTGCACCGTGGTTTCAAGTAATAAAGGTTTTTAAAATATTTGTAGTATATATATATATTTATATATTGCATCACATATTCATGTGTTGCTGAGCTAGTGTATACTCTTCACTGAGTTGAGCTGTAGGAAATCCTAGATATTTGATTTGGTCTTTATTTTTATTTTCTGTTCTCTTGTTAAATTTTTCCATTTATCGTTGTTTCATGCAAGTATAGTTTTTATTCCAACAAACTATATAAAACTGATCTAATGATATATAATATCAACTTCATTGTTTGAAAAGACTATTTTAATCTAGTTTAGTTATCATTAAAATAAGATACTTCATGCAAGTATAGTTTTCATTCCAACAAACTATATAAAACTGATCTAATGATATATAATATCAACTTCATTGTTTAAAAGACTAATTTAATCTAGTTTACTTATCATTCAAATAAGATACTTTGGGGAAGAGAGTACCATGATCTTCTTGTTCCTTTTGATGTTGAACACTGTAGTATGATTTTATTTGAACAATGGATGAAAAGTCACTTTGGAGTATTTGTAGGTGGTGGGACTGCATTGCTTTGCCAGATGATGTTGATTCTTCTGACGAACCCTCATTCAGGCTGCAAATCAAAGAGTTGGCATTTGAGGTGAGATTCTTCTGAGTGCATGGTAGTAGATGTTATATTCACTGATTTTATGCTTATTGTATACCTAAGTTTATGCATATTGATTTGATGTTTCAGTCTCTCCAACTTCTTAAGGCAGCCATATTTGACGAGGAATGTGAACCATGTATCCTTACAGATACTGATTTTGTGATGTATTCTTTGTGTGTATTCTCAGTGACACAGTTTCATTTTTTATTTCTGAAACTTTAGCTCTAAATGGCTAAATCCTTGACGCTTTCCAGTATTCTCCCTTGAAATCTATGGACATATCATCGGCATGTTTGAGCTGAATAATCTGTAAGAGCTTACTCTATGGGGCTTTGTTTTAGTTCTATTCTTCCCTGCCATATTTCTCATTGATGTAAACTTAGCACTGGAATTATAATTTAAATTTTAGATCATACTGAAATATATATATATATATATATAATTAATCATGAGTTTATGTTGCCAGTGATTTGGTTGTGGCTTCTCCGGTGGAGGATTACTTTTTATACATTGATGATCTGACATATCCTACTAAGGTTTAACTTTGTTTCTCCTTACTCCACTACATTATCTAAAAAAGAATTAGTTTTGTTTACTCTTTTTCTGAAACTATGGCAGGAAGAGTCTGAGAAAATTACGCAACCGATTCTGGATGCACTTGGTGAAGATTATTCTATTTGTTGCGAAGGTACTAATTTTATTATAATACTTCCAATAAACAGGATCTATGATAGGAGGAATAGATTGAATCAGGGAACCAATAGGCATTATTCAATATAACAGAACATTAACTGTTGTTAGTTAGGTAACTAAACAAAGGGGAGAATGTGATAAAAAGGAAGGGAATCCAAGAGAGGAAGGGTAGCTTGTCTTTTGGGAATAGGAATTTGATTGTTGGAGATCAGAGTCTCTCAAATATCCTGCGAATGTAGCTGTCCAGTAATATAGTTCAATTTCAATTCTGTTGTATCATTTTCCTTCTATATTTGGAGCATTAGGGTATATCCTCATTCATTTTGATCTTTAATTTTAAATGTTGAGTGATAAATCTATAACTGTTAAATTTTATTTTTAGGGACTGCATTTTTTCCTTTGCATAGCTGCATGAACCATTCCTGTTGTCCTAATGCCAAAGCTTTCAAAAGAGATGAGGTACGTGTGGCAAAACTAGCTTTATTTTATCTAGTATTTGACTTGATTGCATTGCATTCTTAACTTCTTTGATGTCACAAAGGTCATGATTATAGTAATTTTTTTGGCCTTCTATATTTATTATCATGATTCTGTTTTAATTTTAACATGAAAAAACAAAATTGGAATTCCTTTTGTGCATGTGGCGGCCATGTGTATCTACATAGTTCCCTAGCTCTTTGATGGGTTGAAGTTCTCCTTTCATGCTTGCTTTGTTAGTTAAGCATGTGGCTTGTTCATACTGTTGTAAATTACTCGCACAATATTGTTTAGATGTCTCACATAACCAAGAACGTGGCTAAATTACTCATCAAACTAGGACAATTCTCCTTCCTGGAATTAACTTTTACGATTATGTTAGTCATGGTCCGTTTCTAATATTGATCTTATTATAACATAACAATTACTTAACAGCGTCGGTTCAGACTTCTTAACATATATCAGCTGCTTATTTGTTGTTTGTGCCATTATTAAATTCACATTTATTTCTCTTAATTGGATTCAACATGTTTTCCACTTCTCATTTCTGTAGCCTCTCTAGATTTTGTACATGTTGCTACTTTTTGGTTCTGACCTTGAAAAAATACAACGCATTTTTTCTTACCTCTGCTGTAGTTTTGTTTGTAACAGTAAGCCTAAAGCCTTACATACTTTGCATGCAGGATAAAGATGGCCAAGCAACAATAATTGCTCAGAGGTCCATTTGTAAAGGAGAAGAGGTTAGTTTATACTTAATACCAATATCTACCAGCCCAGTAACTTTTAACAAAAGATTTTAATCAGAATTTGATTCTTGATACTCTATCCAAATGATGATTATGTTTATGGAACCAAGCTGGAAAAAGAGACATAATGTATGGAATTTTACCCCATTAAATTTATGTTTTTTGGATATATTGCCATGTTCAACTACTTGACACATGGAAGGGCTTGCAGATAACCATATCATATGTTGATGAGGACCTTCCATTTGAAGAGAGGCAAGCATCCCTTGCAGATTATGGTTTCAGATGCAGGTGTTCAAAGTGCATTGAAGAAGAGCCATAATTTTGTGACTATGCTTGTAATTCATGCAGAATCCAAGTGTTCTATTAGGCAATGAGGCTTTCTTAACTGTGATTAAGTTGATATGCTAAGAAAAGAAGAGGAATGGAATTGAAAATAATTGTTAGGGATTTTGTAGCTGTTTTGAAATTTTCCTTTCAAATAGCTCCACAGTTACCTACATTCCACATTTGTTACACCAGTTCTTTCATGTTTTACATCTATTGAAACATGTCTCGATCAAAAGATTAAACAATGATTTCTTTACTGGCTTCTGCATTTACTAGCTATCAGGGTCGATGGGAATAAAAACATAGTTTATATAGTCATAAAATTTAGAAAAATTCTATGAACAATTTTGAATATACTTTTGTTAGAAACTTGTGTTTTAATAAAATAATAATTTATTATGATTTTTAACATGAATAAACTGATTAAAAATCAGAAACGAAAGAAGACTGGAAATTATTTAAAAAATAAGTAATTTTTTAAGAATATATTTTTAAGCACAGTCAAACATACCCAATATTACCAACATAAAAGACTGAAAAGGGGAAGTAAAAACCTAATGAGTTTTGAATAGAAGGTGAGGTTAGGAAATAACTAAAAATGCAGAAACTTTGTCTCTCTCTCTCTCTCTCTCTCTATAGTTACATTGTCAATGCCTAATTGTATAGGTCAAAAGTCAAACCTAATATTGGTTAACTTAATCACACACACTTTGTTCCAGTTTTACTGCTTTCTGAAAAGTAATTAGAAAATATTAACAAGTGTTAAATAATAATAGAATCATGTATTATAAATATTAAAATTTCTTCGTACCTCCCTATTCTTAACTTTAATACGGGACCTACATCCAGTCACATAAGAAATAATAATTACTTAACAAAGTTCTTTTTCTCTTTTGCTTAAAAACAGATTAGTTCATTCACCAAATTATTATTTATCAGTAATCAATTAATCAATAACGAATAGAATAAATAATTTTCATAAAACACAACTTCACAAGTACCAGTTACCAAGTGGGTGGTTGCATTAGCTTCGGACACTACATTCACATTTTCTGTTTGCATAGTTTGGATAATCTGAGGTAAATAAATAAGCAATAAGCTTTTACTAAACAAAAATTCCATTGAATTGAGAATAACAGTGAAAAAGTACATCAATAACAAAAAAAAAAAAAAAAAAAACTAAACAAAATATACATTAACTCTGCTGTGGGAAGGACAAGAAATCCCCTCTAAATTCTGCCTGCTTATTAGAAGAACATGATCTACCAGCAAAGTTGGAAAACAATAACAATGAAACCCACTTATTCCAACACATACAAAAGTACAACAACCATGTCATAAGGGGTCTTTTATATGTAGACACCAAATGGCATAGCATAAATAACCAAACCCACAAATAAATTATCAAGATTTACCAGGATGGTTGATCCATGAACAAGACAAGATTCTTAGCTATTTACAAATGCACAATGCTTCCTGATCTCTCCTTCTGTCCCTGTCTTAACCTTAATGCTTCCCATTTTCTCGATGGAGTTGGCAAACTCAGCAAAGAAATTTTCAACTGACCCTTGAAGCAATTCGATGATTTGAGCCTTAGTAACTGAATTATTCAACAATGCAGCATCTGACTCAAATAGACCCCTTCTCTTAATCACTTGTCTGTAGTAGTCAAGGTCAAATGTCTTGCGGCTTCCAGGGTCCATCTCAATTTTTGTGATGTTCAACTTATTGATGTCCTTGCACTTGAAGGTTTTCAGATTTTCAGCATATTCACTGTCTAGTGAGGGGTCTTGATCACCCTTGCCAGTAAAGTTGAACAGCCGGTTTGATAATGATGAGCAATGAGCCACACCAATGGTGTGAGCACCTGAAACAAATTGAACTCTTGGTGATTAATTACAAGAACAAAGTACAATGCATAAGTCAATCCAAGTTGTTGGTTTTTATAAAAGCAAAAAATTCAAATACTCACAGCATTCTAGCCTTAAAAACAAACTGATAATATCTTGAAGTCTAAATGATAAAAACAAGACCTTATCTTTGTATTTATCTAAGAAACGTTCTAAAGATTTGAAATATAATTAACAGATTCCTAAATACTAAACCATCCATTTTCAAGCTACACATATTTAGGTCTATTTTCAACAATAATGCTTAGGAATTTGTTTGATTAATGGTACCAGAGAGCAGGACCAAGTCCTTCAAATCAAGTCCTTGATTGGCAAAGAGTGTTTGCAGGGTGGTGATATTGTTAAATGGAGCAGGAATGTTATTTCTGGCTTCCTCCAAGATAGAGACGACCCCATCCCTTCGACCTGTTGGAACTTTCCAAAAGGGTCCACCCTGAAACCCCATGTCAGTAATGGCACAAACAAATAAATGAGTCACTCTTGTTCTCAAAATGAAAGTGTCAAGATAAAGATGAAGCAGAAGTTGTTTGTGCTTATACAAGCTTTTCTTGATAGAAATTGAGCACTTACTGTGGCTACAATACTGTCTCTGGCAGCCAAAGTTAGGATATCAGCACAAGAGACCACACCAGGGCATTCAACCTCAACAAGGCTCTTAATTCTGTCAATGAAATCAAAGCCTCTTACTGTAAGATTTGGAGGAGCATTCTTTTCAGCTTGATTGGTTGTTGAGTTCAGAAGCACTGATCCATCACATCCCTGAAATGCTTCATGTTAGATAGCTCCTTGACCAAACATAGTACTTTTTAAAGTGAAAACGAAAGGAGCTTAAAGCATAATTGAACCACATACCCTCACGAAACAGTCATGGAAGTGCATTCTGATTAATGCGGCTGCCAGTGATGGAGCATTGTGGATATGCTCATGAACAAACTTCAAGATGATTTGCTCAGCTTTTGGGCAGCTTTTAGCATAAAAACCCAACTGAAGTTGAGCATGGGTTGATGCAACTAGTGCCAAGAGGCAAAGACTCAGAAACCTGAAGTGACTTCCCATTTTCATGTAGCTGGCAGACATCCGAGAAGCTTAGAGACTGTATATAATATGAACAATATAAAGCACTCAGATGCTTCTTGAAAGAGGCAATTGCATTTCTCTCTGCTGCTGTTCCCACAACAGTGGCCAGTGATTTATAGTCCTTAAGGTTAGACTTCGAGAAAAATGCCAAATCATAGAGATGGTCCATGCAGCTAACTAACATGTGCGATACGGTGATGCTACATGCACTTTACCATCCATTTGCATGTAATAATTGAATCTTCTATAATAAAATAATGATTAGTTGGATGTGCCCTTATAGGACAAACATAGCGAGTTCGTCTAGTTAAGTTTCTGAATGCTTCAGCAAACGTCATTTGATTTTATTAGTTCGTAATTCACAAGTTACTGAATGTTGATACGTTCTTCAAGCATAGGATGCCATACCGATTCTTCCTCTTTGAACCATAGATTTATCGCTTTAATCTGCTTGTGTATATACTAATACCATATTAAACACGAGTTCAATTTACATAAAATGTTTTTACATAATAGAAATTTACCTTGTCCATAATAAAGTAGCTAGTCAAATCTCAGTGTAGAAACAATATATAAATCAAATACATTGAACAGTATGTGATGGCTTAACATATATTATCAAGTATTCCAATTTTAATCTTAGTTCGAAGAGAAGAATAAACAACAGACTTACCTGCTCCTGTATACTATTAGTCCATTACTTTAGTTCCATTGAGCCAGCCATCGTTCAATAAAGAATTAACGATGGCTACCTGCTGCCACCTATGGGCCATGACGTGCATGTGAATTATATAGAGATTAGCAGAAAAAAAGTTGATTTGATCTAATCTCATTATGATCATAAACATACGTTACGTAATGATATAAAGATAGAGACAAACATTTTGGTAAATCCTTAAGGTCATAGTGGTTCCCACATGCTACTTTCGGGTACTGTAACGATAAACTAGTGACAAACTGTTAAACAAATAGGTTTTCATTTTTGAGTTGTAAAGTAGAAAACATTCGTTTAATTTACATTTCCCAGTTAATAATATGAAGAACTTGAGATTGCTGTTACCTCACGGCATGTGTAGGTGAAGTTCACTATCAAAACTACTATAACAAGACTTAAAGTTCAAAATTACTGGAGGATATGGAGCACAATCATGATGATGGCCAAACTTGCACAGATGGATGTGTTAATCATGACTTGGTCAAATTTCAAATGCGTATGAACAGTGAAGATGAAGTGAATTTGATGGAAATAACTGCACCTAAATTATTTCATTTCATGTCATTTTGTGTCCAGTTTTTGCATAAAGCAAGTATGATAGTTAATTCAAAGCAGATTCCAAATCATGTGCACATCGAACGCAGGTTGCTTTGTTGAAAAAGTAAAGCCTCAAACCCCTAAATCATGCAAGGTTTTTTTATCAAACACGTTTTCGGTATTTCATGTATAAATTAATGATTGATAAAAAATGCAATGCTGGAGCGTGCTGACATGAAATCAGGAAAACCAATTTTTTTTTTCAATTTATTCTAAAAACATTTTTTGAAGATTGATTATTAAAATTGTTTTAAATAATTAAAAACTAAAAGTAAATTAAATAGAGCGTAATTCGTTAAGCCAGGGTTTTCAATGAGTAGGTGGTCGATTATAACTTGTAAATCTGAATGCTAAAAGTCTTATAATATTGGGGTTCTTAATCTATGGTCTTTTGTTTTATCACGTTAATTTAATAATGTCGTGAGAAAATGAAAGGAATAATTGCTTTGAAGGTTGTTTGTTCCATTGTTTTATTAGGTTAATAAGGTCTGTAAGGTTGTCGGCAGGCACAAAGGTGAAGGCACCAATGCGGTCGTGCTGGTTTGCAATATATTATATGCAAAGTTATGCTTCAAATTCTGTATATTTCAGATTTTTATATTATCCTAAACAAAACGACTGTCGTTTTCTGAATCACCACCATTGGGGCAAATAACCATAGTATATTTTCTTTCGAGGAGTCAACTAGCAATTCAAAAGTAAATAGGGGTACGAATGTTTATTATTATTATTATTAATTAGTTTTAGTGGGATTAATTTATTTTGATTAAAGGTTATAACTTTAATTGAATTAACTTGATGGTCAGTTAAAGATGACCTTTTTATGTTCTGATTGGGTGGTAATTGTTTTTGGAATAAAAATTGTACTTCTAAAAATGATAAATTTAAAGAAATTTGATGAATAATTTCAAAAGTTAAAAAATAAAATAAAATTATGCAACCAATAATTAAAAAACACGTACATTGAAATAGAATAACGATTCTATCCATTTTAAGCGTTAGAGAATTGACACGAGTTTCAAGGCCAGTCTGCAAGGAGTGCACTTTACTAGACCAGTTGTACTTAAAATAATAATTACATCTCAATCATTCATAATTATGTTTTATTTTAAAATATTACTTCTAAATATTAATAAATATTTAAAGAAAATTTAATGTTGATATATTTAGAATAGAATGTCCTCGTTTACATGTGATAGATAATAAAAAATAAAATATGAGAAAGAAAAAAACGAGAAAAAAATAAAATGATTTTTTTATTTTTAATATTTAAATTTAAATTAATAAAATAATATTATATTATAAAATAAAAAGATAAGCTTATCTTAAGTTATTCATTTGATTTTTATAATTACTTATATATATATATATAATATTTTATTAAAAGAGTAATTAAATGTATATATATATATATATATTAAAGTTAAAGTTAAAAATATAAAAATAAATAATAATTTAGTTAAACAAAGATAATTTTATAAAATAATATTTATTTATATTTTTACTTGTATATATTTTATAGTGAAAATATTATAAGTGGAAAGTAATATATATATATATATATATATATATATATATATATATATATATTATAGTGAAAAGTGATAATTTTTTTGTCATTTTTCATATTTAATAAAAAAATCATTCATTTTTCTGTATTAATCATTTTTTATTTTATATTTTCTAAAAGAGGGAAGATAAAAATATTTTTATAAAAAAGGACTAAAATACTAAAAATAACACAAGTAAATAGTGATAAAATGCTTTAAATCTTTTCAGCCTTTTGTTTTCAACCACACGTTTTCTAACACACAGATACGATATAACCTTTTTTTTTTTTGTTATAGTAATAGTTTTTTAGTTGTAGTTTTATTCTATTACAACTTAATTGATGGAAAAAATATATATAATTTAACTATGTATATAGACTTAGATCCTTAGAATAACTTTCTGAACAAAAAAAAAAACTTTGGCCAACTACAAACTAAAGAATAGAAGAATTCATTTTTTTAAGTTCACTCCTTTTCTCTTTATTCCGTTTAATCTTTTTAAATTCATCACTTACTAAATAAAATCTATATATTATATTGTCCAATAAGTATAATATTTTGTGCTTATTTTTTTCAAACTGATTCTGGCTGTAAAGTCGACAAGGGTACCTTTGCCAGCCAAAATGTTGGATGTAACAATTGGAACATAATGGAATCCCTCCAAGAAAGACAGATCAAAGTACAATTTAGAAAAATATGATTTTTTTTTTCTTTTAGAGGTATTTTCCATGAAAAATTAAGAAGTGAAACTTGCATAGTACATTATGAAGAAAGAATGTGCCTAGCTTTGGATGTCCACATTCCATTTTTGTAAAGCCTCGGTGCTTTGAATATTATGAAACCTTTTCTTTTCCTGTTAATAATAAATATTCTGATTTAGTATATAAAAATGAGTGCATGTGTTTTTATAAAATTGCTTGAAAATTTTGACAGGTGCAAGCACATTTGCAATTAATCAAATGAAATGAGTGAGGAAAATTTACATGTTAAAAGAAAAAATAAAATAATCAAGGCAATTTTAATATCCAAATTATTATTTAAATATATCAGAAGACAATTGTTAGAAAAATTTGGGTCATGTATATATATGATACATAATTTAAATGTGTTAGGGCCATTATTTATTAAGCCAAATAATAAAGTGATCTGACTAAATTAAAGTTTTGGCTAAAAACATATGTCATGAAAATAAAATTGTGTAGAGACCATAGAGCAATTTCTAATTTGATGAGGGGCCAAATTGGAAATACTAAAACTTAAGTAATTAACCTAATTCGGTTATCTAAAGGGTCATGGTCCCTTCGAGAGCACGTAGACGAACGTAAGTTTCATTCCTGTTCCTTTCTTTCTATCCCCATCAAGAGAGAAAATCAAGAGGGAAATACAGGTGCTCTTCAGGTGGAAGACCATAAGATCAATACATTGCTTCTACAAAGACATCATCATTATGATGAATTCGAGTACGCTTTCGCATTCAGGTTCATGACATGTTTATCAGTATGGGATTATGTTTATGTTTGATCGTTATAATCAAAATCAGGATTATTATTATTATTATTATTGTTTTTCCAACAATTGGTATCGAGTCGCCCATATTTGATTCATGTCTCGTTTAATTTATAGAACCCTAATTATGAAAATTAGGATTAATTTTGTTTTAAACAATTCGGATTACCCAATTTTATGAACCCTAAGTGGAGGATAATCTCTAATTTTTGTGAACCCTAAAATTTAAATTTGGGGTAACATCCCCAATCTGATTCTACTTGCTGATGGAGCACGTGGAGGAAGCTATGGATTCTTCTTCTTCTTCGTTTTTCACTTTTGTTTCAGTTTAAGTTTCAAGTTTTACTGAGAAAGAAATAGTGTTTCATATTTCAATTTTTCTTGTATTGGGTTCTCTGTTCTATTTTGAATCTTTTGTTTTTATTTAACTTTATGAGTTTGGAATTGGGGGTGGTGTTTGTGGAGTTCCCAACACAGAGAATCTTAGGTAAATGATGAATGTTTCCACATGTTTGACTATTATTATTTTATTGCCTCTATCCCCTAGGAATTTAAGGAAAATTTGATGTTAAATTAGGGTTCGAGTGATTACTTGTTTAATTCCCTTTTAGGGTTTAGAGCGATATGCTAAA